TAGATAGAAGGTCTCTCCCTTATTTCAAATAAATAAATACACCTATTTAAAAAACCCAAAACTTGGGTTAGTGTTTTTTTTTTTTTAAGATTCATTTATTTATTTAAAGTCAGAGAGAGAGGGAGAGGGAGAGAGAGAGAGAAAAGAGAGATTGTCCAGCCACTGGTTCACTCCTTGATGGCTACAACAGCTAGGGTGGGCCAGGCAAAAGCCAGGAGCCTTGAACTCCATCCAGGTCTCCCATATGAGTGGCAGCGGCACAAGCACTTGGGACATCCTCTGTTACTTTCCTAGGTACATTAGCAAGGAGCTGTATTGGAAGAGGAGCAGCCAGGACTTGAACCTGCATTCTGATACTGGGATGCCAGCATTGCAGGTAGCAGCTTAGCCCACTGTATCGTAACATCAGCCCCTAGCTTTTAGCTGCTGTGTTCTCTGAGCTTATCACTTCACTGGCATATAATGGCCTGGACTACACACTGAGAGGTAGATGACCAAGGAATTCTTGTCTGCTTGCAATTTTCCTCTCCGACTATGAGTTCCTTGAGGGCAGTTTCTAGACCTCAGCTCCCAGCACAGGGCCTGGCATTGAGGGACACTGTAGGCGGTGTGGGAGAGAAATGGGGAAGGGTTGGCAGGCCTGCAGCCAGGAGCTGATGGGGTCAGGAGTCCAGTGCCACGGAACTTGGGCTGTGGGCTCCGGAGCATTCTGGTGTCTCTGGGTAGGCAAGGGGTAGCCATTCCTGCTGTCTACTGGATGACAAGGACCACTGCAAAACTCTAAGGAGGCCCGTGGAGAAGCAGAGAGGGAGCAAGCTGCAGGAGGACAAGCCTGGATGGACTGGAATCTTGTCTCCACTCTCACTTGCTGTGCGACTTGGAGCAGGTGACTTCACCTTTTGGAGCCCCAGTTCATCAGTAAAATGGGGACCATAACAGACCTTACCTCCTCTCACGCAGAGTTACAGATAACGTATCGGCAGGGGCAGGCTTTGTGCAGCAGGTTACGCTGCCACTTGGATGCTGGTGTCTCACATCAGAGTGCTTGTTTGAGTCCCAGCTGCTCCACTTCTGATCCAGCTTCCTGCTAATGTGCCTGGGAAGGCAGCAGATGATGGCGCAAGTACTTGGGCCCTTGCCATCCATATGGGAGACTGGGGTGGAATTATGGGCTCCTGGCTTTGGTCCGGCACAGACCTAGCTGTTGCAGCCATTTAGGGAGTGAATTAATGGATGGAAGATCTCTCTCTCTCTCTCTCTCCTCTCTCTCCTCTCTCTCTTTCTCTGTGTCTCCCTGTTACTCTGCCTTTGAAATAAATAAATGCATCTTAAAAAGAAATATGTATACTTTTCAAATAAAATAAATAAATATTTAAAAATTATTATTGCCTCAAACGGCAGAGAATAGATAGTGATGCTGATGCAGATGTTGGTGAAGATGATGAAGAAGAAGGAGAAGAAATATTTTAAATCCCTGGGTGCTGGATGTGCCTAAGCACAACTTGACTCTGACCTTGGGAAAGCAGTCCAGAGGGCACCTCAGGTCAGGAAGTGAGGTAGGTATGTAAACAGGAAATAGATTTGAGCCCAGAAGCCAGGAAGGTCCTACGAGGTAGATAAGCAATGCCCAGGGCTGAGGCCAGGCATGGTTTTGAGAGTATGTGAGACCCACTAGCGACCACATGGCACTGCAGAAGGACTGGCCACACGTCCCTTTGTCTGCTGGCCCATCATCCTGCTCTCCTGCCTGTGTGAGTCCCTGAGCTAGCTTTCCCTAGCCCCCCAGAGGCTGCCCCTGGATGAAGGCCCATGAGCCTGGATACAGAACGGAGGCTGGGTAGAGGGAGATTTGTGTCAATGAATCTCGGGCCCAAGTTCATCTTCTGGGCCCCCCAGTGACTCAGGATGTGGCTATGACTTGGTCTCCCTATCATCTGCCAACTAGGGTTCTGAGGGCCTCTCTGAGCTCTGACCTGGTGCAGCCCTGTAGGTGAGGGCAGCACCTACAGGCAAAGGACTTTGGGTTCCATGTGGAGCAGAGATGCAGCTGAGGGCTGGGTGGAGAGATCACCAAAGACAGCGGGAGTCGAGGGCAAGGCCGAGAACTGAGCCACTGTGAGGGTCTCCAGGGGTGGCCAAGAGGAAGAGGCTGGGGCTGGGGGGCTCTGGGGGGTGAAGAATCTCACACTGCTGTCCCCGGTGGGCTGGCTGCTCCCCCCACCACTCCCCGCTGGGCCCCCGGGGGACCTCGCTCTAATAATGTATTTGATCGACTCGCCGGCCGCGTACAAGCGATTATTGTCTTGTCGGGAGTCAAACGTATCGATCCAGCGAGAAATATGAGCGGAGCAATGGGGCCCGCGTGTCAGTTACCAGCCCCGCTGGCCCTGGGGAGCCCCCTACGTCTCCTTTAATTACCGCTCAGCCCTGAGCCCAGCCTGGCCTCCCCTGTGCTGCCTCCCTCCCAGGCTCCCTGCACCTGAGTGCCCCCCACCTCCACAGCCCCCGTGCTACCTGCCTTGCTCAGTGTGGTTGGAGGCCTCTGGTAGGGAGGCCACCATCTCCCCCTGTCTGGGTCTCCCCGTTCCTGGCTGCTAGATCCTGTCCACCTACTGTGCTCCAAACTCCGCCCCTCTGCTCTGGCAGGCCCTTCCTCTTTCAAGATCCCCTGATCCAGATCCAGGAATTCAGTTCTGCTTTGCCCTCTGCCCCACATGGGAGTGTGGCCATGGGAGGTGAGGGGGGAGAGGTGATTTCACCCCCCTGGGGCCTAAACTGAGGCCTTTCTGGCCCCCGCATTTAGCTGCAGATTTGGAAGGGCAGCACTGAAGTGGGTAGTCTCTCTCTGCTCACTTTCAGGAGCTGGCATGGGGATCAAGTCCAAGAACGTGATGGTGACACAAGGCTGTATGTCCAGTGTGGAGCATGAGGGTAGCTGGTGGGACCTGGCTTCTCATGGTGCCCTACGAATCCCATTTTCAAGCCCCTAAACATAAATCCTAAATCAAGACAGAGCTTACTGTCAAGATAAGGCTCCAGGACACCTCTGCCCCGAGACTGCTGTCCACAAAACCCTCCCGCACAGAAATCCTGCAGCCAGTTGTGTGGCCCATGGAGCTCCCCAGTGATCCGGCTTTCCCAGGATGGGATGGAGATGCCTGGAAACTGCTCTCTGTGCGGATGTGAGGCTGCCCAGTGCTTGCCCACCTGGGTGTGTCTGGGTGCACAGGGCGCCTGAGCAGATGGGAGAGGGCATTCTAGCTTTGCCGGTGTCTGTGTGGGTATACAGGGCCAGGGAGCGTGCCTGGGCATCTATGTGTATATGCACCCTTGTGTCCACATGAGGAGTGTATGTGTGTGTGTTGTGTGTGTTTGGGGGAGCTGGGGTTGTTTCTATACAGAGCTGGCTGCGGTCAGTAGGGAGGGTTGGTGCTGAGGCCCGGGCAGAGGTGTCTTCGTGTGAATCTGTGTGTGTATATGTGTGTGTAATGCTTGGGTCCCTGTGTAGAAACACTTGCGTGTATGTGTGTATGTGGGGGGGTGAGTCCAGGCGTCCACGTGCTGGCGTTTGGCTTGGAGCACCCCAGTGAGGGGCGCAGTGAGCCCTGCAGGCCCTGGGGCGGACAGGCGGCGCCAGGCTGCTCTGCAGCCTCCAACCTCAGGCGCCGAGAAGAGGAAGAGGGCAGCGGGCTCGGCCGCGCCTTTGTCTGCGCCGCTGTACGCCGAGAGTCCTGCGCCTTTGTGTGACCCTCGCAGGTGTGCGCGCGGGGGCGGGGCGGGAACTGAGGGAGCAGGGAGAGGAGCGGAGGGAGGGGCTCCTTTCTCTGCAGCCGGCCCCGCCCTCCGTCCCATTGGCTGGACGCTGCCGCCCTCTGGCGGTCGCTCAGAGAAGCGCTGGGCTGGGAGAGCCTTTCGCAAAGGGCCAGCTGGTAGTCGGGTAGCCCCAGGCACCTTCCGGCTCCCGCACTCGCTCCCTGGCAGTCTTCTTGCCGCCCAGGGCCAGGTCCCCGACCCTCCGCCCGCACCGCCACTGCCCACGTGTACTGCTTTCTCCCAGGGGTTGGCTGGAACCTTACCTGTGGACGGATGTAGGGCTTAGTTTTCCCCGCAGCCCTTCCTTTCTTACTGGGACACTTCGTGGTTCTTCTGGGGCCTTGGGAACACCACCTTTTACGTACCTGATGCTCACTTTTGATGTCTGAAAAATGGAGCACGTAGCGGTGTCTGCCTTTCCAGGTGACACGTGCAAGTGTGAAGTGCAGAAAAGGCTCTGGGGGAGCCCTCCACAGCAAGCTGGTAGCTAGCGTTCGTTACCGCTGTGACTGCTCACCTCCCCCGGAACCCCACACCTTCTTCCAGATGTGTTCGGCCCACAGAGGAGCAGGAGGACTGGGGCAGCTGTTAGAGCCACCTCCTGGGGTGGCAGCTGATGCAGCCTGCTTTGCCCCTGCCCCTGCCTCCCCACACACACCTGATTTGGGATCAGCTGGACTGTGGGGTGAATCTGAAGACTAGGAGATTTTCCTTTCTGAAGGGGGCGGACCAGCCCTGTGGTTTCCTCCCTGGGTGACTTCCGGCAGGGAGGGCTCAGCCCCCAGAGAGGGCGGGGAGATGACACAGTTGTTCCCCCAGCCCTGGCGGGGCGGGCAACATGGTTCACTCCAGCATGGGGGCTCCAGGTAAGGGGGTTGGTGCCTTGCACCGCTGGGGAGCACAGGTAGCTCATTTGGGCTTGCTTTGCTGAGCTGCCTCGGCTGTCCGCCCTGCCCCTCTCCTTGGCCTCCCCTGTCCTGCGCTGCAGCCACTCCGCCCCTTCCCATGCTGGGTCTCCTCCCCAGCTCCTGTTCGCCTTCCCCTTCCCCTTCAGGCACCGGAACTCCCAGCCTCTTCTCCCCATCTCTATGGCCCTGTTCTGGAGGTCTGAGGGGGGCAGGGATGGAGCCAGGTGTTGGTAGCAGGCTCTTGTGCAGAGAACCAGTGGGGTGAGCAATATGGGAGGTGCTTGGGGGGCTGCAGAGGGCTGGGAAGGCCAGCTTTCTGGCCTTGGGGACTGCCATGCCCCTGTGAGTGTGTATCTGTGTGTGGGCTGCGTACTTGTGGTATTTCTGAGTGTGTCTGTTGTGTGCTTGTGTATGAGCCAGCGTAGGGGCTGCTGTGTGTGTTGTGGAGGTAGCCTTGGCGGTGATCGCCTTGTTTGCTTTCTCTTCATTTGCTTCAGATGTCACCTCCTCAGGTAGGGCTTCCCTGTCCTCCCTGTCTCAGCTGGCACTAACCTGTCGCTCTCAGCCCCCTCACCCTGCTTCGTCTTTTCTTCATAACACTTCTTGCTGCCCACAATGGTGTATGTTCGTTGGTGTGCTTATTAAACGCCTCCTCCACCAGTACTCAGCTGACGGGGTGACCCCTGTGCGCCAGATGCTGCGCAAGATGAGATGTGTCTGTGGGCACGTTAGAGTGATGTGTGAATCTTTGTGCAGCAGGAGTGCTCACTGGGCAGTGTGATGGCAATATGAGGCAAGGTCGTGTGTGCGCCACCCCGGCACAGTGCCTGGGATGAGGCATGCACTCAGGATCTCATGAGGGCCCATCTGTGGCTCTGGGTGTGTGACTGTGGGCCTGTGTCGCAGTCTTGGGTGCCTTTGGGTATAAGTCCTGGCTCGGAGTGTGCTGTCCTGTGTACGCCCGTGAGTGCAGTGTCCCCACGGTCCTTTGTCGACATGTATTTGTTGAGCAGTTCTGAGCTGGGTGTTGAAAATACAACTGACAGAGGCAGCTTCAGGTCTGCCCTTCTGGGGCTTCTAGTTCAGTGGCAAAGATGGCAAAGATGGGCCTGTGACCAGGGACCGTACAGAGGGGTCAGGGCAGGGATGGGGAGGCACGGGGCTTATGGGAGTGTAGAAGACATGTCTAATTCAGCTGGTGTGGTATCAGAGAGGGCTTCCTGGAGGAAGGGGTGTCTAGGCTGCGATATGGAGGATTAGTGGATGTGAGCAAGCGCAGGGGGTGAGGGGGAATTGAGATGGAAGGAACAGCATCGGTAGGACAGCCTGTGTGTGTGCAAATGCATGAGTGTGTGTGTGCCAAGGAGCAGCGTTGGTAGGATGGCCTGTGTGTGTGCAAATGTATGAGTGTGTGTGTGCCAAGGAGCAGCATTGGTAGGATGGCCTGTGTGTGTGCAAATGCATGAGTGTGTGTGTGTGCCCATGCAAGGGAGACCCACAGACTGAGGCTGTCTGTTTGCTATGCCGTCTGCTCGACCATGGACTTGTCCCCAACTGGGAACAAGTATTAGACCCTTTTCTTGGGTTTCTCTCAGAGCAGCCCAGCCTACAAGGATGAGCCTAGGTTTTTCCATGCTGGGCATGAGTTGATACTTTACGTGGCCTTGGGCACATCCGTTACCCTTCTGTGGTCTCAAACTCCGTACCTGTGAACTGGGCATGAGGGTCTGTGCTGGCCATCTCCCAGGGTGAGGGGACTGTGTGACTGTGCACGTCTGGGTATACCAGGGTACCTATATGCACGTCTGTGCCTGCGCATGGCTCTGCATGTTGAGTGTGTGCACATCGGGTGGCTGTGCGTGACTCAGTGTGTGTGTAAGTGCATGTATGTATACACGTCTGGGTGTGTATTTTGCATGACTGCCTGTGGTGTCATGTCTGAGCGTGTGTCTTTACCTGCACACCTGTGTACATTCCTGTCTGGGATCTGCCCACACCTGTGTCCTATGTGTGCTGGCTGGGGCTCTACCTGCCTGTGGCTATGCCATGAGTGCTGCGTGGCAGCTCTTGCCTGTTGTCAGCACAGCTGTAGGGCCACCTCTGTGTTGTGTCTACTGCCGGTCTCTCCATCCCTCCCTCCTGACAGCTCAGAAGTGCTCACTCCCTTGGGGCCAGCCAGGGACAGCTGTGGGGTTGGTGGGTGTGAGGTACCGCTCCTGGGGAGGCCGGGGGCTGGGCCAGCTGGGCCCACAGAGGTTCCCGGCAGCACCAAACCTGCCCACAGGGGCTCCCAGGCCATAGCCTTGATTGAGACGGGCTGTGGAGGCAGGGGACCCAGGGGACAGACCAAGTGGGGCCAGGAGGGGTGCGGGGCAGTCCTTGGGCCCTCTATATTTAGCCCCGTTTTCGGTAAGTGCTAACGAGAAGCTGGCCTAAGTCTGCTAAAACTGGCTGGGGGAAATGCAGAGGAGAAGTGAAAGTCCAGGCAGGGAGGGGTGGGGGATGGAGGAGACCCAGAGTCCCTATGTGGGGCTGTCGGGCCAGCCAGTGTGAGCTTGGGATGGTGGGATTCAAGGGACAGCGGGACTCCCAGGGGCCTGGCGAGGTGATGGGCTGCTTTCCCTGCTGCCCCTTTAAAGAGCCCCACACTTTGCCTTGCGTGACAGTGGATAACCAGCCAACTTCTCTGTGGGAGTGAGGGGGTACCAGGGCACTGGAGCCCATTGGAATCACCTGTAGGGGCCCAGGCGCATCCTGTGCCGTAGAAATCTGAGGGTGTGGGGGTCAGAATGGCACCAGTGTTTCTGTAGCATCAGAGGTGGCAGGCACCCATGCCTGGGTCAGGGCTGAGCACAGCTTCTGCTGGCCCCTCTAAGTCCATGGTAGCCAGTGCCTGCCAGGTCCCAGTTATGGCGTCATTTGGCCTTTAGTCCGTGGGATTTGTCCTTGGTGGGAATGGCTTGGCCGTTTCCCTGCATTGGGCCCTTGGGCCCTGACAGGAGAACAGAGCCTAGGCAAGGCAGTGCTTAACCTAACCATGGCCCCAGGCCCCAGGCAGGCAGTGCTGTGGCTCTGTGCAAACAAGGGAAATAGAATCATGAAAATGTTTCCCTTAAAATTATTTTTAAAATTTTTTTCTAAAATAATTTTTTTATTTAATAGAGAGAGAGAGAGAGAGAGAGAGAGAGAGAGAGAGAGATCTATCTATCTATCTATCTATTGGTTCACTTCCCAAATACCTGCAAAGCAAGGACTGAACTGGGGCTGGGCTAAGAGCTGGAACTCAACCCAAGGCTCCCATGCACATAGCAGGAACCCAAGTACTAGAGCCATCACTGATGCCTCCCAAAGCACACATTAGCAGGAAGCTGGAATCAGAAGCCAAAGACGGGAACCGGACCCAAGCTCTCCAATGTGGGGTGCAGGTGTCTTGACCACTAGACTAAACCCCTCTCCCTCAAACTACTTATCTCTCCTCTGGCCGTCCCCACAGAGGAAACTGTGCCTTGAAGAGTTGAGTGAGGGTTGCTTGGGGTGGGGGCTGAGTGCCGAAGGGTCAGGTGATGGCAGAGATCAACAGGATTGGGTCCTGGTCAGCCCAAGGTTGCTTGCACGCATTTATTTATCCAAAGACACAGACCTGCGCAGTGAAGGAGCCCGGAGTCGGGGTGGGGAGGAGTCCCTGGCCAGGGTGGTCAGGCTGCAATGGAGCAGTCTAGAGGAGAGGGACACTGACCACCCAGGAAGTCAGGGAGGACTTCACGGAGGTGGTGGCCAATGAGCTGCACCTGGAAGAGCAGCAGGAGTTTGCCAGTAGAGAGGAAAAGGGTGCCCCGGGGAGAAGAGCAGAGGTAAGGCCTGGACGAGGGAGGTCAGGGCCGGGGGCCGCTGTCCGCCACTGACCCACTCGACCTCTGCCGCGCTGTGCTGGGACCCCTGGAGGAGCCCCAGTCTGACGGGGTGCTGGGGCGGGGGGCCCAGGGGGAGACCTCCGACTGGGGGTCGGGGCCCGGGTAGCTTCATGGAGCCTGTGCTGGATCCGGAAGGGGAAGTCGGAGGCCGCCCGGTGGGCAGAGTGGGCCCCGGCGTTCCAGGCAGAGGGCCCGGCCCAAGGCCTGGCGAGATGTCTGGTCAATGGCAGGGAGAGAGCAGGGTGGCGCAGGGACAGGTGAGGACACTGCGCAGACACCGAGAGCCCGCTCCTCTGGGCTGCTGGGGACACAGCTGTGAGTCAGACCGGGCCTGGCCCCTGGTCTGGGTCGGAAAGAACCTGGGCGCAGGCGGCCGCAGCTCGGAGCTGGGACCACGGAGGCGGGGGCTGTGGGAGGCTGTGCTCCTTTGCTGGAGAAGCACCAGCAACTGGGGCTGAGACGACGGAAATGTGTTTTCCCCAACTCTGGAGGCCGGAGTCTGACAAAGACGTCAGCAGGCCTGGGTTCTTTGAGGCCCCTCTCCTTGGCTGGCAGATGCTGTCTTCTCCCTGTTCGTCTCACGGTCTTCCCTCCGTTCCTGTCCGGGTCCCTGCCTCCTCTTCTTCTTAGGACACCAGTCTGACTGGATTCAGGCCCGCACTAGCGACCTCATTTTACCTTCATTCCCTCCTTCAAGAGCCTGTCTCTAAGCACAGTCACATTCTGAGGTGCTAGCGGCTAGGATTCAGTGTGTGAACTACGGGGACACGGCAGCCCACAGCAGAGGCCCAGGACAAGAGTCAACTCTGCTGGGGGAGATAGGTCAGGGGCTGCCCGGCTCAGTGGACTTGAAGGGCATTTGCCAACTCAGCAGGGAGCTGAGAACCTGCAAGCTCTGGACTCCCCGTCAAGCAGAATGCCCTGGTAGAGGGAAGTGCCAGGAGCAATTGAAGGGCAAAACTCCTGAGTGACAGGAGATGCAGAGGGTGGTGACCACATCCTGAGGCCAGGCTGAGGAGATGGGGAGCCAGGTTTCGAGCCAGGGAGGTGGGTGGAGGATGGATTGCCCCGGCCAATTTGGACACTGCTGGAGGGGCCCAGGAGGAGGCTGGGGCTGCTGCTTCAGGGATGCTAGGAGGGGCGGGACTTAGGACCTGCTCAGGCTGAGTAGTTGCCTGGAATAGGGCTAAGGACTGGGTGAGTAAGAGTGAAGAGCAGGCAGGATTCCCGCTCTTACTGTGTCTTTCACTGACATGACCATTCAGTGCCTCCTCCCCAGTGCCTGGAAACACTCTCCTCCCCATGTGCCCTGGCCACCTCTCCCCACCCCCACCATCTCCACCCTATACCTCAATAGGACTATGTGCTGCCCCCCACCACCACTTTAAGCTTTTGTTTTTTCTTTTGTGTTAAAATGTGGCATATATGTGAATAGTGCTCACATTTAAGTGTGCAGCATGGTGAAGCCTCACGTGTATGCACAGACCCTCATAACCACCAAGCAGATCCTTTCTGCTCCTGCAGGCTGCTTGCAGCCCCCTGAAGGCACCCACCGATCTGGCCCTGGATGTCAGCTTGCCTAACTCTGAACTTCATGTGAGTGGCATCGGAGCCATCTTGGGCTTGGTGTCTTTGACTCAGCCCCCATGTGTGCAGCTCAGCTGTGTGCACAAAGCAAGGTGCTTCTTTTTCACTGCTGTGGAGTGGAGTGGAACGTCTCTTGATGGACATAGGATGCTTTGTCTGTCTGCTCCCCTGTTAATGAGCCCTTGCAAGGCTTCCAGTTTGGGCCATTATGGAAAGGCCACAGGAGCATCGTGCAGGACACTTGTTCTCTTGGACGTGCCCAAGAGTGGGCATGGGTCAGAGAGGGCATCGCCTCAGCTTTCCAGCATAGCGTGGGTACCAACTTACACTCCCACCAGCAGCAGGTGACCTGGCTTTTGAATTTAATTCAAATCTCCAGTTGTAGAATTCCTAGACTTTTTATTGTTGCTGTTCTTTCTGTTGCTGAGTTCTCCCCATCTTTAAATATCTTGGGTTCAGAGTGCTCCGGAGATGGGGTAGGGATCAGGTGGAGTGAGTGGTAGGGTAGTGTTTAGGATCAGAGTCAAGGTCATATAAGGAAGGTGTGAGGACACCAAGGTCAAATGAAGGACTTGGACCATCGAGGCCCAACCTGGGACTCTGGGTGAGTAAAGAGACTGCGAACAGATTTATGCTGGGGTCCAGCACCAGGAAAAGTTGGGGTTGGTGACAGGAAGTGCATTTAGAGACGAGGTTGGGGGAAGTCAGGAGTGGGGTCCATTAGAACAGAGTCATCCTGAACAGAAGCAAGAACCCTGGAGTCCAATCAGGGCACCTTTACTGTCTCACTGTGCTCATGGGGAGGTGACAGCTCTTCTCAGAGCCTTGGTTTCTTCCTCTGTAGAATGGGCTAAGACACCTGCTGCTGTGAGCTCTGAAACTGATGGAGCTCTGTGCCTGACACTGGTGAGCACCTGGGGACAGGGCTCTGTCTGCATTGCTTCGTGTCCCTGGTGCCCAGCTTGCTGCTCGCCCCCTTCCTCAGCCACCTCCTTTCATTCCCTGGGTCTGGGGCACTGTACAGTGGGGCTGTATTTGGAGGTGGATTTGAGGGTACAGCTGAGCGTCAAGGCTGAAGTTGTGGGTAAGGTCTAGGGTTAGATTTGAGGACACTGTCAGAGCAGAGCTGTGTGGAGCTGGGATTGCAGGATTCCGGCAGGGTTGGCAGGCCTGTGCACGGCATGCATGAAGGAAGGCCGGGGGGAGCGTGGTGTGGACAGGAAAGTGGTCAGCCAGGAAGGGGCCAGAGGGTGGCAGAATCACACGGAGATTTGACAGCTCCCTCCTCTGGGGACGGTGCAGCCACATCACATCCCCCAAGCCCCACTCAAAGAGTGGAAAACATGTCTCACCCGAAACCTGGTGGGGCAGGACGGGGAACCTGGGCGGCCACCCGTGAAACAGGCCCAAGGTCACACTTGCCCCTTTGGAACTTCACCGACCTCCCCTGGGCTGCTGATGCCTTCGTGGCCACTGTCTGCCTCCTGCTTGCCCCAGGGTCCACAGTGTGTGACACCTGCTATATCACTTTCTGGAGGGGCTAAAGGTTAAGGCAAGATCTCTTGGGCCTGAGGACTCCTCCTTGTCCTGCTGCAGGCGGGCAGAGCCCAGGATAGAGGGTCTGACTCTCAGAAAGGGGCACTTTCCAGTTTGGGGGGGAGGGGGTTGGGGAAAGCCATGCAGGGTGGCAAAGGAAGGGCCCGAGAACCTTCCTGTCTTCCACTTCATCACCCACTTCTGTCCCTCCTCTGTCCTCAGAAATAAGAATGTCTAAGCCCCTGGAGGCCGAGAAGCAAGGTCTGGACTCCCCACCAGAGCACACAGGTGGGTGGGGAGGACGGGGAACAGGGGTCACGGGGGAGGGGAAGTGGGACAGAAAAGAAGATGACAGAAGGGACAGGTGTGGTGGAGGTGGTGGGTGACAACACATCCTTTCCCTCTCTTTGCAGACACTGAAAGAAATGGACCAGACACTAACCACCAGGTCAGGAGGGAGTGGGCAGTGGGAGGGGCAGGGGGGCAAAGGGGGAGACAGAGGGGCTCTGTGTGCAGTCAGGAGGGGTGGGGTCACAGCTGTTTCATCACACTGTTTCTATGCCCCTGCCCCAACTTTCTCTTCGTAGAACCCCCAGAATAAGACCTCCCCATTCTCCGTGTCCCCAACTGGCCCGAGCACCAAGGTAAGCAGCTGTGGGATCCTCCAGGGAAGGGGGTCTTCATGCACCTGTCATGGGGCCAGGGCCTAGAGAGCATCGAACTCCTCCACCCCTTTTTACCCTGGGTTCCCGCCCCAGGCCTGTGACTCACCCAGGCTCCTTCCCCTTCCCTAGGGGGTGGGGGTGGCCAGGGAAATCCCCCCCAGAGCCCCAGGGTGATGAACAACAGGAAGCTGAGGGCCCCACCCCCATCCCGACTTCCCTGACAGAGCACCACCCCCTGTCCCCCAACACACACCCTGGGGCCAGCCAAGGTGGGGGCTGGCTGACCCAAGAGGACGAGGTGGGGATGCAGGAAGAGGGCTGGAGGCTGGCAGGGGCCAGGCTGCAGAATCCACATCCAGATGGTGCTGTTAGGCACAGCCGGGCTTCCCCGGGGTTTTCTTGGGCCTAAGTCCCTGCTGCCGGCCTGGCTGGGGGCAGCAGGCAGGTCAGGCACTGAGGGTGGGGGCAGAGGGAACATGAGCAGGACTCCTGGGCCTGACCAAAGTGGGCTTTGGAGGGAGTGGGAGGCCAGAACTGCTCAACCCCTGCCCCAGGCTTGCTCGGTGACCATGGCAAAGTCACTTCCCCTCTTGGGCTTCTCAGTTTCTTGTTTTCTGGTGGAGTGACAGACTGGTTAGCCTCTGAGCTGCCTTCCCCCTTTGGCGTGCCCCTTCTCTTCTTCTGTACTGAGCACTTGGAATGGGGCCCGTGGCCTTGCCAGCCCTCTGATCTCAGGTGTGGCCCTTGCCACAGTCAGTGTGTGCCCCTCGGCCCCCACCCCCACCCTGCCCTCCTGTGCTGAATCAGGTCTCTGCAGTCTCTCTCCAGCAGCTGCCTTTGTTCCTTCTCCAGGCCCGGCCCCCATACACCGCCCCCCCATTCTCTCCACCTTTCTCCGTGTCTTCTGTCAGTCTCCCCCACATGCAGTGATTCAGTGCCCTCATCAGGGTCACACACAAATCCACATTCTACCGCGTGCATTTATTTATATAATAATTTTGTTAATTGGCTCAATCTTCAAAAACACTTTATTATGGAAAATGTGAAGCAGATATAAAAACAGACAGAAGGGTGTAAGGAAAACAAACCCCTCAGGGGCCCGTCACTCAGTTTCAACAATGATCAGCTCATGAACTGCCTCACTTTCTCAACAGCTTAAACACATGGTTTTTAAATGGAAATTTCATGAATGGAAAACCAGAGTCACTTGCCATGGAAATAAATATGAGGATTATCAAAATCTACCCCGAGTCTCTCATGTACTAAAGGTCTACATCTAGGGCCTTCTCTCCATTGGCTGAGAGGGGAGCGGAGCCGGAGCTGGGGAGATGTTAAGACATCCTAGCCCCACACGGAGACTTTCTTAAGACAACCAGAAAGAGTGAGAAAGCACCGGAAAAGGAACAGTGTCGTCACCTTGGCAGCTCATGTTAATTTTTGGAAACTTCACATTAGACTGTGGCACACTTCCAAATGCGTAGCTCCTCAGTGTGTGACTGGGTTGTCACCAGCGGAGCACACCTGTGTCCCCAGCAGCACATGGAGAAGCAGACAGGACCAGCCTTCCAGAGGCTTCGGTGCCCCTGGCAGGGAGGCCCCCGCCCTGACTTCTAACGCAGTGTCCTTTCCTGCTTGCTAAGCCCTGGAGCCCTGAAACTTCCTGACATTCCTGTCCCACACTTTGGTATATACCACTTACTGTCATTGGGCCTTTCCTGGGCCTCTGTCTGTGTTCGTTTCTGTGTGCCTTCCAAACACCATCACCCTCTCACCCCAGCAACCCACTGTGTCACCTTGAACAAGTTGCTTTCTCCTCTGGCCCTCTTTTTACACCATGGCACTGGGATGTTGGGCTAAAGGATGGTCCCTAATGTCTGCTCTGGGCCTGAGAGTGTGTGTTTCATCAAGCCCTGCTTTATCCCTGTCCTGAGTGACTATCCGCCAACCTTTCAGTCAGCAACCGCTGCGGTCTGGCTCCTGCTGGAGGATGGCCTTGTGCTGGCCTGTCCTCTGTGTGACACGTGAGAGGCAAGGAGGGGCTTGCTGACCTCAGGGGTGGAGGCTGGCACCTGATGGCCCTTGGGGCACGTCGGGCCTGTCCACAGCAGAGGACAGGCACAGTGCTTTGCTCTGTCATCCTGCCAGTGTTGTTTACTTTTCTTTTAAAAAAAAATTTATTTTATTTGAAAAGCAGAGTTACAGAGAGAAACAGAGACAGAGGGAAAAAGGGGCTTCTATTGGCTGGTTAACTCCCCAAATGACTGCAACATATGGAGCTGGGCCAGCCTGAAGCCAGGAGCCAGGAGCTTCTTCGAGGTCTCCCACCTGGGTGCAGGGGCCCAGGCACTTGGGCCATCTTCTACTGCTTTCCCAGGTGCATTAGCAGGGAGCTGGATCAGATGCGGGGCAGCTGGGTTTCAAACTCGTGCCCTTATGGGATGCCAGCACTGCAAGCAGCAGCTTTACCCACTGTGCCACAGCACTGGCCCCTCCAGCAAAGTGTGACGCTGTTAGGCAGATGAGAAGTGCACTTTGGGCTGACACAGAGGAGTGTGGGGCCCAGACTTCTGCATTTGCCCTCTCTGGTGCCCAGTGCATATTCTGCATTGTGCAGATGGGGAAACTGACTCCCAGAAGGGGAAAGGTGCTCTCCAGATGTGGTCTCTTCTGGGAGTTTGGATGAGGGTGATGTGGTTGATGAGGACATTGAGACCAGAGGAGTGGTCCGAGGCCACTGGCCAATCAGTACAGGGCCATGAGCCACAGTCTCAACTCTGTCCTCCAGTTCACTCCTGTGCCAGCTTGAGGCTGCCATTGCCACACGTGTGCCCTCTCTTTGGTTCACAGGTGGGCATTCTCTCTGGCCTCCACTTAACATTCTGGGGTCCCGGACCCTGCCTCTCTCCCCCCCAGATCAAGGCTGAAGACCCCAGTGGTGACTCAGCCCCAGCAGCACCCCCGCCCCCTCAACCGGCTCAGCCTCATCTGCCCCAGGCCCAACTCATGTTGACAGGCAGCCAGCTAGCTGGGGTAAGTACTCGGGGAAGGCTGGGGATAGGAAGCACCAACCACCCCCTTCCCATCTGTTGCAGGAGTAGTGACTGAGGTGACCCACCAAGGCCATGGCCATGCTCTCATGCCTGCATCTTGCCTTCCTCTGTCCTCCGGGAAGACTTGTCCCCCTAACCTGCTTAGCTCAGGCACTAACCCCTCTCTGCCTTCTCTGCTCCCCTGACTCCCTCCTCTGCCTCCCTGCTGCCTGTCCGCCCCACAGCTCACGGCACTGATGCCAGCTCAGCAGCAGCTGCTCCTACAGCAAGCCCAGGCCCAGCTCCTGGCCGCCGCCGTGCAGCAGTCCAATGCCGCCGCTGCCGCTAACGCCGCTGCCGCCGCCGCCGCCTCCTCCACCTCCTCCTCCTCTGCTTCTTCCGCCTCCTCCTCGACCTCACAGCCCCCAGCTTCCTCTGGGGGAGGCGACCTGCCACCACCACAGCCTGCCAGCCAGCCCCCTGGGACCCCACAGCTCACCTTGTCCCAACCCATCCAGCTCACAGCACAGGTAAGGGCGGCCATCAGGGACCACACTGCCTTGAGCAAAGGATGCGCAGAAGCAGTTCTGACCACCAGCCACGTGCCAAGTGGTTCCCAGAAATCGCAGGAAGCCTTGGGAGTGATTACAGCCCATCAACCAAGGGGTGAAGGCTCGCAGGGAGGACTCTGGGGCTATAATCCTCCCCCAGTGGAGTTCTGGGCTCAGCACTTCCTGTGCATCTTGCTGAGGGGTTGAAGCCTCATGGAGGTTATCGTTATCCTCAACTTTGAGAGGAGTGAACAGTGAACACTGTGAACAGTGCCTGTATGGGTATGAATCAAAGGCTGGGAATCTGATGAGTGCCCCAAATTGTGTGTCCTCGCATCCATAAGATGCTCTTTGAGAAAAGAGGTCCATGATCTAGGGTAGAGTTATCAAGAATCCGTGGTTGCCATAACACAGCACCACAACTGGGTGACCTAAAACAACAGAAGTGTATTATCCCAGACCCCAAGTCCCAAATCAAAGTGTCAGCAGGCTGCGCTCTCTCTGGAGGCCCAGGGAGGATCCTTCTTGCTGCTTCTGGGGTGGTGTCTGTTCTGTGGCTTGCGGATAGTCAGTACAATCTCTGCCTCCTTCGTTGCATGGCCATCTTCTCTCTGTGTGTGTCTGTCTCTGGACCCCAATTCTCCCTTTCCTGTAAGGACACCAGTCATTGGGTTAGGGCCACCTTAATCACTTATTGTAGCTTGATTACATCTGCAAAGACCTTATTAAAGTCACATTCACTGGAACCAGGGGCTCCTTCAACATGCCTTTCTGGGGGACACGATCCAAACCATGACCACAGCCAGTAGACTTCCCACGAGGGTAGCTGATAGGAGCAAAGTGAGAGCTAAACGGCACTCTTAGCTTCCGGCGGACACACTCTCTCCTCCCCTGCACGCCTTCCCAGGTCACTCGCCTGCTTTCGCCCACTTTCTAGCAGGTGACAGCTCTGGGAAATCTAGCAGCAGAGAAACCTGTTCGGCTTCCCCTGGCCTAGTGCTCCCCACAGTGACTGCTCTATAGGTGCTTTTCTTTCACTCCATCCACCCCTTTCATGGACCCCTCCAGCAGATGCTGTCTCTGCAGGGGAGCTGTCCAGCTCCTGTGAGGAGTTCTCCTGATAGAGTTCACACCGCTGCTGGTGTCCGTTTCAATAGCGACTGATGCCCCCCAACTCGGGACTTCACTGAACCTGGAGTTGATTCCTGCCTCCTTAGAATTTCCTGCCACAGGGCCTGATTCTGCAGAGAGATTCAGAGTAATCCGGGCCTGTGTTCCATGCTGACTCCCGCCATGCAGCCCCTCAGTATCTGGCTCGCTGCGGCAACAGTAACTGTAGACCACCGGGTGCTGCCTTTGCGCCAGGCACTATGCCAAGGAAAACTTCTTTGAATCCGTGAAGCCTCATCATTGCCAGGCTTTGAATGACCAAGTGACTTTCTTCAAGTCATGCTGTGAGCTGTAGCAGCAGAGCTGGCCTGGGAGCCAAGACTAGGAGCCTAGGGCCGTAACCACGTGACCTGTGGCTGTTGCCTTTAGCTGTCCTTCACGGGGACATGGTTTCCAGCCCCTCCCACCTGGGCCACCAGAGACTCCAGCAGCAGGTGTCCTGTTTGCCTCGCAGCACACGCGGCCTTTCACAGAGCAGTGCCAGGGGCTGGGGCACCTGGCTGTGGGCTGCACTCTTTTGCATCTCAGTGCCCTGCCCTTGCTCTCCTTTCTACCTCAGTTTGCTGCCTTTTTTTTTTTTTTAAACCTGGGCAGCTCCTCTTCATCCATTAAGCCCAAACTCCAGGGTCACGCTTCCAGGAAGTTTCTGCTGACTTCCCTCCCTCCAGCTGTGTCCAACATGACTGAGGAACTATCTGTTAATGAACAAACACTGGAGGAACGGGGAGGGAGGGCAGTTTAGTGCAAACCCACCCAGGCCATTGCCCCTGTGAGCAGCAGGCACTTCTGCTCGTGCACCCCTAGAACCACCTCCCCTGGGCTCCTGGTGTCCCAGCAGCAGCAGCAGGCCCACCCTCTGCCGCCGGCTCAGGCCCGGATCATCAAGGTCTTCTTAAACCTCTCCCTGCCCAAGCCCTTTCCTCTTGCTCTCCCCTTCCTGTGACCCTCAGCTCTCATCTTTCTTTGTCTGTTCTCAGCAAGTGCAAAGCCAAGCCAGCTGTGTTTTCTGGGGATTCTTTCTCACTGGCTGAGTCGCCCCACGGCCGCATGTCCCCAGCAGTGGTTTATTCAGTGCCTTCTGTGTGCCAGGCACTATGCTGGGCCCAGACCAGTGGGGGCCTAGCTGCCCACTGCTGCAGCCTCCCTGGCCCTGGGCTTGAGTCACTCCTCTCCCCAGGCCTGTGCAGCTCCATTCCTACAGTCTTTTTCTTTTTTTAATTTTTTTTTTATTTGACAGGTAGAGTTATAGACAGTGAGAGAGAGAGACAGAGAGAAAGATCCTCCCTCCGTTGGTTCACTCCCCAAATGGCTGCTACAGCTGGTACCGCGCCAATCCGGAGGCAGAAGCCAGGTGCCCCCCCCCCCCCGCCCAGTCTCCCATAAGGGTGCAGGGGCCCAAGCACCTGGGCCATCCTCCACTGCCCTCCCGGGCCACAGCAGAGAGCTGGACTGGAAGAGGAGAAACTGGGACTAGAACCCGGTGCCCATATGGGATGCCGGCGCCGCAGGTGGAGGATTAGCCAAATGAGCCATGGCGCCGGCCCCTCCCACAGTCTTTTTCACAAACATTTCCCAGCCTCCTGTGTGTTAGGCCCTGCAGGAAGCTGCAGTTAGGAGTGAGTCACAGTCATCCTTGCTCCCAGGGGCTCCTCTTATAGTAAAGCAGGTACATCAATGAGGCACTAAGGAATGTTTCACTTGGAAAGTGCTAAGAAGCCCAGAAGAGTCAAGGGCACTCACACATCCTGTCACTTCCGAACTACAGAAATGGTGAAGGGACGGCGCCCCCGCCCCCTGTCCCCATGATGCCGGCTTCCAAAGCAGTGCCCGTTAGATGGTGTCACAGGACCCTTCCTGCGGCCTCCAGCTTGTGCAGATGCAGGGCGACCTAACACAGCTGTCAGAGCTCAGCACGGTGCTGGCTGCCGAGGGGCCATGTGGAGGTTTACTGAGTCAGTGAGGAATGCTTTGCCGCACTTTTTTCAATCAGTGGTAGGGAACACGTGTCTCCAGGGGAGTATTTCAGAATGTCAGGTGGGGAGGGAAAGGCACCACTGGAGAACTTACCTTATCGCTTAACACATCATTTTGTATTTGGAGAGTGGGGAAAAGATATTCCCTATTTTTGCAACAGGGACATAAAAAATAAAGCTTAACAAAATCTTTTAGGCAAATAGGGCCTAGTGAATAAAGGTTTCCCAGAGAAACCTACTGGATACGGTGGGAACGTAGGAAAAGTGTGAGAAGTGTGTCTGAGGAAATCAGAGGCCTTCAGCAGGAGCTGGTCTCTGCCCTGGGGGAGGAGGAGGAACAGGTTACCAGGTGGATGAGCTCCAGGTAGTAGGAGCAGCAGGTGTGAAGTGAGAAAGCAGAGCCGGCATGCGTGGTTGGTGCAGGACGGAGAAGGATGAGCTGGGCAGAGCTACTGTTCAGGCCCAAGCCCAACTCCAGGGAGCTGAGGAAGAAACAGGAACGGGTGGCTCAGCTCCCTCACAAGGACTGACCTGGAATACCAGCCCCGGCACCAGATAACGGCCTCCCTGTTCCTTTCTGGGGCAAGCAAATGGGTGCCAGCATTTCCAGACTCGTAGCCACCCTGCCCAGGGAGACAGAACAGGTCCAGCTGACCAGGTGTGAGGCGGTGCCCCTCGCCCCTGAGAAGGCAGGTCAGACCCACCTGGACTTGGTGGCCTGAGGATGGGGGAGGACAAGTCCCCAGGAGGGAGAGGTGCGTCCTGTGCTTGGAGAAAGGGCAGCAGGAGCCAGGAGAGCCTGCTGGGAGGGTGTGGTCAGTGCACACACACAGAACCTTCGCATCTCAGAGCCCATAAACTCCTGGTTGGATCTACTGTCGCCTGATTACCCTGGAATTTTCGTGTAAGGTCACATGTGCCGTAACACACATTCTGGATGGGCTGCTTTTTCTCCCATTGAATGGTTTTTGTTTGGTGATGTTCAACCCAAACTGCCAGAACTTCCTGGGCTCCACGGAGCAGGGTCAGCCTCTGGGGCACAGGGTCAAGAGAAGAGCCCATGCCTGAGACTGCTCCCTTCCCCCACCTCCCACCCTTAGGGTTTCCCTTTGTTTGTTTGTTTGTTTGACAGATAGAGTTAGATAGTGAGAGAGACAGAGAGAAAGGTCTTCCTTCCGTTGGTTCACCCCCCAAATGGCTGCCACCGCCGGCACTGCGCCGATCCAAAGCCAGGAGCCAGGTGCCTCCTCCTGGTCTCCCATGTGGGTGCAGGGGCCCAAGCACCTGGGCCATCCTCCACTGGCTTCCTGGGCCACAGCAGAGAGCTGGACTGGAAGAGGGGCAACCGGGACTAGAACCCGGCGCCAATATGGGATGCCGGTGCCACAGGCAGAGGATTAGCCAAGTGAGCCATGGCACCGGCCCCTTGCGTTTCCCTTTGTGCAGTGACACATAATAATCATAGTCATTGGTTCATCCAACTGGCACTTATTGGGCATGTTTTTGTATGCCAGGTACCCATTTATGACCTGAAGGGACAACTGTGAACAAGGCAGAGGTGCCCCCCACCAAGGACCTTATGTTCTAGTAGGGAGACAGGCAGTGGACAGAGTACGTGCAATAAGGGAAATGAAATAGGTCAGTTTCCAAAAGGGAGGAGGCCTCTAAGTGGAGCGGTTAAGGGAAGGGCTTCACTGGGAAGAAGGCCTTTGAGAGTGCAGGCCTGGCGGGTGGTGCAGGAGCCAGGGAGTTGCAGAGGTCCTTGCAGAGCTCCTGAGACTGGGGCCAGGGAAGACGGTGTGTCTGGCGCAGAGTGAGTGAGGACAGGTCAGAGGT